CTGGAGCCTCGGAAGCTCACGGAGCACGGAGTCCGCGTCGTCTCCAGAGGTAAAACTCAGCTCTTTGCTCTGAACCCGAGAAGCGGCAGCTTGGTCACCGCTGGCAGGATAGACCGGGAGCAGCTCTGTGACAGATCTCCAAAGTGTATGGCAAACCTGGAAATTTTCCTAGAGGACAAAGCGAAGATTTTTGGAATAGAAGTGGAAATAATCGATGTTAATGATAACTCGCCCACCTTTGGAACAGGGCAGAGGGAAATAAAAGTTGCTGAAAATGAAAATCCTGGAGCACGATTTCCTCTGCCTGAGGCTTTTGATCCGGATGTGGGGGTAAATTCCTTGCAAGGTTACCAGCTCAGCCCGAATGTTCACTTCTCTCTGGATGTGCAAAGCGGGGCAGATGGAATTAAGTACCCGGAGTTGGTGCTGGAGCAGGCCCTAGATCGCGAGGAAGAGGCGGTTCTCCACCTCGTTCTTACTGCCTTTGACGGAGGTGACCCAATTCGCTCTGGTACTACCAATATTCATGTAATACTTTTGGACATCAATGATAATGCTCCTGTATTCACTCAACCGGAGTACCACATAAGTGTTCAGGAGAACTTGCCTGTGGGCACCCGCCTACTCACGATAAAAGCCACTGATCCTGATGAAGGAACCAACGGAGAAGTGACTTATTCTTTCAGAAACGTAAGAGACAAAATATCCCAGCTATTTCAGTTGAATTCTCTCACAGGGGACATAATAATATTGGGGGATCTAGATTATGAGGACTCTGGATTTTATGACATAGATGTAGAAGCTCATGATGGACCTGGTCTCCGAGCCAGAAGTAAGGTACTGGTGACAGTTTTGGATATAAATGACAATGCTCCAGAAGTCACGGTTACCTCTGTCACCAGCTCAATCCAAGAAACCTCTTCTCCAGGTACAGTAATTGCAGTTTTCAATGTGCATGATGGTGACTCAGGAGAGAATGGATTTGTCACTTGTTCTATTCTGGATAATCTGCCATTCAGGCTTGAAAAGACCTATGGAAATTATTATCAACTCTTGATACATAGAACTCTGGACAGGGAAGAAGTTTCAGAATATAACATTACGATAACTGCCACTGACCAGGGAAGTCCTCCTCTGTCTACAGAGACTCATATCTCACTGCAGGTGATGGACATCAATGATAATCCACCCACCTTCACTCATGCATCCTATTCTGCCTACATTCTGGAAAACAACCCCAGAGGAGCATCCATCTTATCCATGACAGCCCAGGACCCTGACAGTGGTGAGAATGCCCATGTCACCTACTCTCTGGCAGAGGACACCATCCAGGAGAAAACTTTGTCCTCCTATGTCTCCATGAACTCCAATACTGGTGTTCTGTATGCACTGTGCTCCTTTGATTATGAGCAGCTCCAACACTTGAAGCTACTGGTGACAGCCAGAGACAGTGGGAACCCTCCACTCAGCAGCAATGTATCTCTGAGCCTGTTTGTGCTGGATCAGAATGACAACATCCCTGAAATCCTGTATCCTGCCCTCCCCACTGATGGTTCTACTGGTGTGGAGCTGACACCCCGCTCTGCAGAGCCCGGATACCTGGTGACCAAAGTGGTGGCAGTGGACAGAGACTCAGGACAGAATGCCTGGCTGTCCTACCGCTTGCTCAAGGCCAGTGAACCAGGACTCTTCTCAGTGGGGCTGCATACTGGTGAGGTGCGCACAGCACGGGCCCTGCTGGATAGAGATGTGCTGAAACAGAGTCTTGTGGTGACTGTCCAGGACCATGGCCAGCCCCCTCTGTCAGCCTCTGTCACACTCACCATAGCTGTGGCTGACAGCATCCCTGATGTCCTGGCAGATCTGGGTAGCATCAGGACTACCGACCCTGATGGTTCAGACCTCACCCTCTACTTGGTGGTGGCAGTGGCTGCTGTCTCCTGTGTCTTCCTTGCCTTTGTCATCTTGCTGTTGGCACTCAGGCTACGACGCTGGCACATGAATCGCCTACTTCATGCTGCAAGTAGCAGGTTTGGTGAAGTGTCTGTACCGCAATTTGTAGGCATGGATGGGATGCATGCCTTCCTTCAGACCTATTCCCATGAGGTCTCCCTCACTGCAGACTCCAGGAAGAGCCACCTGATATTCCCTCAGCCCAACTATGCAGACACGCTCATCAGCCAGGATAGTTGTGAGAAAAATGAGCCTCTTCTGGTTCCACAGGATTTAGGTGAAACTAAAGGAGACCCCAATCTTCTTCAGGTGAGTCAATCCTATAATCCATCCTAACACACTGAAACATAGGCACAGAGTTATGTAAATGTCTCCAATTATGTTAAGATATGTAATATACTAAATAAAGACACCTCTTTATTAATATTTTGTTATTTTAAAGGGGAGAAATAATAATGTAAATAACATTTACTAAACAAAAGAAACTATTCATTTATTCATTCGTTTTTTTCTTTCTTTTCTTTTTGGAAATGGTGAGAATTGAATCCAGGTCCTTGGGTATGCTAGGCAAGCACTACATTACCAAGCTACCTCCCCAGCTGTGATCTTTTATTACTTATTCTCTTTAGTCTTCATTCAGTAGGAATGATTTAATTTTATACCTGTAAGCCACTTATTTATTTGTTTGTTTATTTACTTATTTGGTACTGGGAATTGAACTCAGGGGCAATTCCCAGTACCAAATAAGTAAATAAACATTCCCCAGCCATTTTTTGTATTTTATTTAGAGGCAGGGTCTCATTGAGTAGCTTAGGGCTTTGCACAGTTGCTTGAGGCTGGCTTTGAACTCTAGATCCTCCTGCCTCGGCCTCCCAAGGCGCTAGGATTACAGGTGTGCATCACCACGCCCATCTCCACTCACTCTTTTAAATGCTGCTTTCTCATATGCATTACTAAAAGGATAGATAAGACATGTGAAATAGAAGTTGACTCTATAAATTTATATTTATAACATTCTTTCTCATGATGCTAATGTCGAATGTGGACTGCATATTTTTAAAATTTCCTCTTTTTGCATTCTACCATGCTTTGCTTAAAGCTTACTTTTCTTTCTTTTTTCATTTTAATCAGACAGTGGCAATTTATAAATAATGGGGGAAATGCTTAACTTTTAGAAATAATTTTAACAGTGATATTGTCTCAATGGAATGGTATATTTCATATTTTGCTATTACCTGATCTGAGATGAAGCAGAAATGACTTTGTGTGATTCCTTTGGTGCACTTCCATGATTAACAAAAATATTGCCCATTCTATTTCACTCATATTTAAGTAGAGTGCAGGAGAAAATTTGTGTGTGTGTGTGTGTGGTGCTGGGTATGGAACCCAGGGCCTTGGGCATGCTAGGCAAGTGCTCCATTACTAAGCTACACTGCCAGCCCTGTAGGAATTAATTTTTAACATCTTCTAAATTACTTATCATAGCACCAGTGTTGAGTCCCACCTTGATTTCTAAGGAAAGCATAACTTTTTGAAGTCTTTCCCCCCACCCCATCAGTTAAACCTCTTACAAAGGCTGTTTGACTTGGGTTCTGAATTGTATTATTCATGCTGCTTAGTAAATTGACTTCATCCCTATCTATCCTTATTCCTACAAACTATTCTCAAATAGTTCTATCACTATGTGGCACTGGAATGAACTGATATAGGATAAAATGTTTTGTGTGTAACTGATATACAAAACTTTTGTTCCTTTTGCTTTCATATAGTTCTGTGGGTTATTTCACAATTCATGAATGCCTATGCCTGAGCAATTTAGGATTTTTTGATATCTGGAAGTTGTAGCAAGTCTGTGGATTATGGCTTATCCCAATTTGAGAAGGAGTGTTGTAATTTCTATGTAGTTTTGTATTCATGGGAAGCTGTGGTACAATAAAATAAGTTGTAATGAGATATGGGACAATTAGCTGGCTTGGAGAGAAGAAAGAGGAAATAAGTGAATATTTCACATATAATTTGATAATGATCAATTTATCTAAAACTAGATCAAATATATTCAGATGTTGGCATTAAGAATATGTTCCAGGGCTGGGGTTGTGGCTCAGTGGTAGAGTACTTGCCTAGTACTCATGAGGCACTAGGTTTGGTGCCCAGAACCCACTTAAAAAAAACAAAATAAACAAAATTAAGTTATTGTGTCGATCTTCAATAAAAATATTTTTTAAAATATGTTTCAGAATCAAACTGATACGTATTTCAATGCCTATGAAAGCCATAGATAATTTATAACCTAATATCAATGGAAAATATGTTTTTGTTTGAATAGGCACTATGTTCCTCTTAGAAAATAATAATTCTGATTTTAAAATTCTTGTATATTTATACAGTAGACAACTAGATAGCTATAAAGATCATTGAGAAGCCTCTGTGTACTTGTATGAGATGATCCTCAAGATATGATGGGTTCCCCATACTAAACATATTTAAATATATAAATATAAATAGCTATATATATAAGCAAGATGAAAATTATGGTATGTTGTATGTTCATATTTGTGTAAAAGGAGGGATAACATTTATTAAAATCTGCACTATGTAAAACATGTCTTTGAGGATACACATGACACATTATACTTTTTTCACTTGAGAGAAAATGTTACACAATACAGGGATCGGAGTAAGAACATATGCAATATGTACCTTCAGAATTTGGAGCAATATAATAAATTGCCTATTTAAATACAAATAAATACTCCATAATTTTAAAAAAGAAAAGGGAAAAAACTTCAAACGTTTACAAGCCATTAGTGCAGTTCCCCGGGAAAACCTCTGGGCGTCGCTGCAAGTCAAAAGAAGAGAAAGATCGTATAGGAAGACGCGTTTGGGAGACTCAGAGGGTAACTTCCTGCTCAAACCAAACACATAGAAGAGGTCAGTACAAATTCGGATACAGAAAACAAAAGCAGGAAAAGTGACCATCCAAGCCATCCAAGGGAGGGCTCGTTCCTCCTACCTCAAAGAATCAGGGCGGCGGACGGAGACGCACGATGACGGCAAGCGCCCGGAGGAGCAGGCTGGCGCTGTTGCTGCAGGTACTGTTGCCTTTCTTGCTGTCTTTGTTCTGCCGGGCTCTCCCAGACCAAATCCACTACTCGATTCCGGAAGAGCTGGATAAGAACACAGTGGTTGGAAACCTCGCCAAGGATCTGGGGCTCAGTGTCCAGGATTTGCCAGCCCGGAAACTGCGGATTAGCGCAGAAAAGGAATATTTCACTTTAAATCCACTGAGTGGGGACTTAACCGTGCGTGACAGAATAGACCGAGAGCAAATTTGCGGGAAGCAGCCTCAGTGTATTCTGGATTTCGATACTGTCGCTGAAAACCCATTTAATATTTATCACGTAGCAGTCATTGTGCAGGATATAAATGACAACACTCCATTATTCAAACAGAGTAAGATTGACTTAAAAATTGTAGAATCCACCAAACCAGGTACAACATTTCCATTAGACCCAGCTCTGGACTGCGATGCAGGTCCTAATTCACTGCAAAGATACCACCTTAATGACAATGAATACTTTGATCTCGCAGAAAAACAGGCTCCAGATGGACGTAAATATCCTGAGTTGATTTTGAAACATTCTCTGGACAGAGAAGAGCACAATTTTCATCAGCTGGTTCTCACAGCTGTGGATGGGGGAGACCCACCTCAAAGTGGTACCACCCAGATCCGAATTCAAGTCACCGATGCCAATGATAATCCTCCGGTATTCAGCCAGGATGTGTACAGGGTCACCCTGCGGGAGAATGTCCCCCCAGGCTTCTCAGTGCTTCAAGTGATGACCACTGACCAGGATGAGGGTGTCAATGCAGAGGTCACCTATTCCTTTCATAATGTGGATGAACAAGTGGAACATTTTTTCAACTTAGACAAAAAAACAGGAGAAATCACAACAAAGGATAATTTGGATTTTGAAATTGCTAACAGTTACACTCTGAATATAGAAGCAAAAGATCCTGGAGATCTAGCATCCCATTGCAGTATCCAAGTTGAAATTCTCGATGAGAATGATTGTGCACCTGAAGTGATTGTGACTTCAGTCTTTGCTCCCCTGCCAGAAGATTCACCACCAGGAACAGTGATTGCCTTGATAAAAACGAGAGACAGAGACTCAGGAGACAATGGAGAAGTTTACTGTGAAATTCGGGGACATTCAGAGTTTATATTGAAATCTTCCTTGAAGAACTACTACAAGCTAATGACAGACCGGGTTCTAGACCGGGAGGAGATCCCAGAATACAACATCACCATCACAGCCACCGACAGGGGCAAGCCACCCCTCTCTTCCACGATAAAGATCACCCTGCACATCTCAGATGTCAATGATAATGCACCAGTTTTCCAGCAGAGCTCCTACGTGGCCCATGTGGCTGAGAACAATCCACCTGGAGCCTCCATCGCTCAGGTCAGTGCCTACGACCCGGACTTGGGCCCCAATGGCCAAGTCTCCTACTCCATCGTGGCTAGCGACCTGGAGCCTCAGGTCCTGTCGTCCTATGTGTCCGTGAGCGCACATAGTGGGGTGGTGTTCGCGCAGCGAGCCTTCGACCACGAGCAGCTACGCGTCTTCCAGCTGACGCTGCAAGCGCGCGACCATGGCTCACCAGCTCTCAGCGCCAACGTGAGCCTGCGCGTGTTGATAGGAGACCGCAACGACAACGCGCCACGGGTGCTCTATCCCGCTCTCGCTCCCGACGGCTCAGCGCTCTTCGACACTGTGCCGCGCGCCGCGGAACCCGGCTACCTGGTCACCAAGGTGGTGGCTGTGGACGCGGACTCGGGACACAATGCCTGGCTATCCTACCATGTGCTGCAGGCCAGCGACCCCGGACTCTTCAGCCTGGGGCTGCGCACTGGAGAGGTGCGCACAGCGCGTGCCTTGGGCGACAGGGATGCGACTCGCCAGCGCCTACTAGTTGCTGTGCGTGATGGTGGACAGCCACCCCTTTCGGCCACCGCCACGCTGCACCTGATCTTCGCAGATAGCCTGCAAGAGGTCTTGCCAGACCTCAGCGATGACCCTCTGCCCACCGACCCCCAGACTGAGCTGCAGTTTTACCTGGTGTTGGCCTTGGCCTTGATTTCTGTGCTATTCCTTCTGGCGGTGATTCTAGCTATTGCTCTGCGCCTGAGACACTCCTTCAGTTCTGCTGCCTGGGGTTGCTTTGAACCAGGTTTGAGCTTCCAGTCTGGGCCTGGGGTTCTCCCCAATCACAGTGAAGGAACATTGCCCTATTCTTACAATGTGTGTATTGCCTCACAATCAGCTAAAACAGAGTTTAATTTTCTCAATGTGACACCAGAAATGGCTCCTCCTGAGGACCTACTCTGTGAAGATGCCTCTTGGGTACCATGTACAAATCATGACAACACTAATGTTCCCTTTGCCTCGGATACTACTTTAAAGGTGAGCTCTGATTCATTTATTTTCACTTGGGGCCTTGGTATTTCTTTTAAAAACATGTAACTGGGATGAGACACTTTGTTGCATGTTTTATTGTCTTGTGAGTCATATTTAGTCAATGTTCTTCCTTAATTACCTTAATCTTTTCTAATCAAACCCTAAATAATGATTTTCTATCCGAAGTAGGAAGTTTATTTGTCCATAATTACAAGTGTCTTTTTCTTCCTTTCTTTATATTCCTTTCATCTAAAGGTTGTTTACTATTGGGAATTTAAGCAATTGCTTTTACCTTCATGGTAAATTTTAGCTTTACTTTCTCTAGAATTTATAGCGCTTCAGACATAAGAGATTACTCAACTTATTAGTTTGTGGAAATGGTGAGGGAGAGCTACCCAGGGTCATGGCTTGCTAACAACAGAGAATGCACAAAACATTGTTCCATTGATTTGAAATCAACATTATTTAAATGTCTTAGCAAGCTGAGTGTCCTGGTATCTCAGACTTTTTTTTTTCAGTGCTAGGGATCAAACCCAGGGCCAATATGTTGGACAAATGCTCCACCACTGAGCTACATCACTAATCCTCAGATGTATTTTTAAAGGATGAACAGTATTCAAGGGCTGAGTACTATTGTTAAGAGTGCATTTTAATAAACGTGATAAATCATTCTCTTTCCTACATATTAATAAATTGTTTCTGAGAAAAATTGCACATGGAAGAAAATTCTTCAACCTATGTTTATATATCATCTTCTACCAAATACTACCTAAAACTTTATGACTTTGAATTTTAACATTATAACATCTTCATTCAAAAATTTTTTCTATCAAGGTGTCATTAAGTAAAAACTGCTTTTCTCACTTTATGGACTCTTTGAAGACCAAAAAATGTCTATTTTTCCAACCATAATTTATTATATGTTATCATGCAAAAGTAATAACACTAAATATCTGTCTCAACATGAGAACACCTCTGCTCAGTAAATATCTAGGTACACTTTTCTATATAAATGATAAACTAAAGCCCTGTCTTCCACAGTCATTATATTGATTTCTACCAAAAGCTTATCACTATACAACATCTAACTATGCATATTTGAATAATGTAATAGGAAAATATAATTAATGCACAGTTAATCCAACTTAAACTCAATGTAGCTGCCATATTCTTAGATTAAAAATCTATAAACTTTCTCAAAGATTTCACAAGTAACAGAGGTCTATACTTTTCTGCATATGACACTTAAAAGAATTTTCAAATCAGTAGGCCTTTTTGAGAAGGTGGATTTGTTTTCTTGGCATTCTTATGTACAAATGTGGAGGTTTTCCTAAGTGTATCCCAAAAAAATGAAATCTTGAAATTGGCAAAGGTAAGAATTTAGGTATTTTAATTAAAGAAACTCAAGTGGTAAATAAATGATATAGGTTCAATGGTACATAAAATAAAACTTCTAAGAAAGTAAAAAAGAATATAATAATTGGTCTCAGCGGTTTGTGAAACTGTTTCAGAATTGAAACTTGATTAAATATAAACAATGTCAACAATACATTAAGGATATGTAAAATTATTGGAAATAAAAACATAAATAAAGTCATGGGAAATAAAAATAGAATTGGTGTAGTAACTGATTAGGACTCTGAGCGTCGCTGTTCACCAAAGTGGGAAAGAATCTGTCACAGAAGCAACTCGACTCTCAGCTTCTTCCATACTAAACACGACTAGGCAAGCTTCTGGGAACTGCCGCCCGTCCCAATTCCGCCAAAGAATATGCTCTCCTCGATTTTAAAGAAATAAGGTAACAGCAGGCTGAACCAGGACTAAGAGAATTGAGGGAAGAGAAAGCAATGGCGAATCTACTGAGGCGCTGGGGCTGCGGAGACCTGCTTTTGTCCTTCATGCTTCTGGGAACGCTGTGCCAGCCAGGGTCCGGGCAGATCCGCTACTCGGTGCCCGAGGAATTAGAGAAAGGTTCCTTTGTGGGCAATATCGCCAAGGACCTTGGTCTACAACCGCAGGAGCTGGTGGAGCACGGAGTCCGCATCGTCTCCAGAGGTAGGACGCAGCTTTTCTCTCTGAACCCGCGAAGCGGCAGCTTGGTCACAGGGGAAAGGATAGATCGGGAGGAGCTCTGCGCTCAGAGCGCGCGGTGTCTGGTGAACTTTAACATCTTGGTTGAGAATAAAATGAAAATTTATGGGGTAGAAGTGGAAATAGTTGATATTAATGATAACTTTCCGAGATTCCGGGAGGAGGAATTAAAAGTAAAAGTTAATGAAAATGCAGCTGTGGGAACTCGCTTGGTGCTTCCCTTCGCACGAGATGCGGATGTGGGTGTGAACTCCCTCCAGAGTTACCAGCTGAGCACCAATCTTCACTTCTCCCTGGACGTGAAGAGCGGATCTGACGGGCAAAATTACCCTGAGTTAGTGTTGGAAAGGCCCCTGGACCGCGAGAAAGCGGCGATTCACGAACTCCTTCTCACAGCCTTAGATGGCGGAGACCCAGTACTCTCTAGCACCACGCGGATCCGCGTGGCAGTCCTGGACGCAAATGATAACGCGCCCCTCTTCACCCGATCCGAATATAGAGTGAGTGTTCCAGAGAGCATACCTGTGGGAACTCAGCTACTCACTCTGACCGCCACAGATGCAGATGAGGGAATAAATGGGAAAGTGACCTACTCTTTTCGCAATGAAGAAGACAAAATTTCGGAGACGTTCCAACTTGATTCCACTCTGGGGGAAATCTCAACTATTCAATCCCTGGACTATGAAGAATCCAGATTCTACCTCATGGAAGTGGTAGCTCAAGATGGAGGTGCTCTTCTTGCTAGTGCTAAGGTGCTGGTCACAGTACAGGATGTGAATGACAATGCCCCAGAAGTGATACTCACTACTTTCAGCAGTTCTGTTTCTGAAGACTGTCTTCCTGGGACCATAATCGCCCTGTTTAGCATACATGATGTTGATTCTGGGGAGAATGGTGAGACTTCATGTTCTATTCCGAAGAATTTGCCTTTCAAATTAGAAAGGTCAGTTGATAATTACTATCACCTATTAACAACAAGAACTCTGGACAGAGAAGAGACTTCAGATTATAATATCACAGTAACCGTTACCGACCATGGCACCCCACCCCTGTCTACAGAAAATCAAATTTCCCTGAAAGTAGCAGACATCAATGACAACCCACCTACCTTCTCTCAGGCCTCCTACTCTACTTCAATCCCAGAGAACAACCCCAGAGGAGTTTCTATCTTCTCTGTGACAGCCCATGACCCTGACAGTGGTGATAATGCTAGGATCACTTACTCCCTGGCAGAATATACATTACAGGGAGTGCCTCTATCCTCCTATGTCTCCATGAACTCAGACACTGGTGTCCTGTATGCACTATGTTCCTTTGACTATGAGCAGTTAAGAGACCTGCAGCTACTGGTGAAAGCCAGTGACAGTGGGAACCCTCCACTCAGCAGCAACGTGTCACTGAACTTATTTGTGCTGGATCAGAATGACAACATCCCTGAGATCCTGTACCCCACCATTCCTACTGATGGTTCCACTGGTGTAGAGCTGGCACCCCGCTCTGCAGAGCCTGGATACCTGGTGACCAAGGTGGTGGCAGTGGACAGAGACTCAGGACAGAATGCCTGGCTGTCCTACCGCCTGCTCAAGGCCAGTGAACCAGGGCTCTTCTCAGTGGGGCTGCACAATGGTGAGGTACGCACAGCACGGACGCTACTGGATAGAGATGCTCTCAAGCAGAGCCTCCTGGTGATTGTTCAGGACCATGGCCAGCCCCCTCTCTCTGCCACTGTCACACTCACAGTGGCCATGGCTGACAGTATCCCTGATGTTCTGGCCAATCTGGGTAGCATCAAGCCCCCTTCCTACTCTGATGATTCAGAGCTTACACTCTACCTTGTGGTAGCAGTGGCTGCAGTCTCTTGTGTCTTCCTGGCCTTTGTCATTGTGATGCTGGCGCTTAGACTAAGACGCTGGCACTCATCACGCCTGCTCCAGGTTTCCAGAGGCAGGTTGGCAGGCATGCCCACCTCCCACATTGTGGGCATGGATGGGGTGCAAGCTTTCCTGCAGACCTATTCCCATGAGATCTCCCTCACTGCAGACTCCAGGAAGAGCCACCTGATCTTTCCTCAACCCAACTACGCAGACACTCTCATTAGTGAACAGAGTTGTGAGAAAAGTGAACCTCTTCTGGTGTCTGATAAGGCAAATGCAAACAAAGAAGAACAAGGAGTTGCTCAGGTTAGTTCTTTCTTACAGTAAGAATGCCTGGAGCATTTTCTTCCTCTGTTTTCTCAATCATTTTTCTGCCACATTCAAAATCAGCTAATTATGTAGTGAATCCTTTTTTGCTTTATTGCAGATTAACTTTATTTTAATTGATAATTGATGCTTTTTCCATTTATTTTCAAATTGCTTTGGACTTACTGTTTTTTCTCAATCTGTGCTTATTTTGGAAAATCTAACTGATTAACAATAGACTTAAGTGAAGTGCCGATCTTAAAATAAAGTGGTAAATATAATACTTTACTCAAAGATTTTGTTAGTTCAGAACAGCTATTCTGTTGATAGTAGAGTTGTTCTATGAATTCAAGTAGTTAGACATATTGTACTTTTTTGAATATTTGCCTAGACACTATTAGTGAACATGTTTTGGAAAGATATCTATAGAATTTGTATTTTAGTATATTTGAAGTTTACATAAGGAAATGGCTTACAGTACTTGCATAAATCAGTGGACAAGTACAGAAACCTTCTGCACAATATCAGAAATGTAGGATTCATTTATAGTGATGATCATGTCTGTAGCATTCTGAAAGCAGAAAATTTTGGTTAACCCATGTAATTATTGGATATGCACATTTGTTGAGAGAAGAAACCGGAGAGAAGAAACTTTAGAATTGTAATTAATTCTGTGATATGGGTTACAGTCTCAAGAAAGAAATTCTGCTACATTCAACAAGTGTAAATATATCATACACTTGGCATCACTCATTACAGGTAGTCACTTAACAGAATCAATATCTGCTAAAATGATTGCATTTCTGTATTGGAGGATAATTCTGCTTTATTACAAGAGTCTAAGGTTTGTATTTGAAAAATCAATGCAACATAAGAATGGCTTGAAATTATAAAGTTAATTTCTGAGGACTGTGTTTACTTTAAATTAATAGATTTTTCTTAGTTAAAATGCTAGTCTGAGTTTCAAATTCATGAATACGGGTCATGGAAGGGAAGAACTACTTAATTTGATTGATTTTCTGCCTCTTTGCTGAAAATGATTTTAAGATACTTCTTACTAAAAGATTTTAAATAGCTCAAATTTTATACATTTGACACTTTGAACATCAGTGGCAAATTATTAATAAATGGGAGGAAATGGCAGTTGAATATTATTAGGGGAATATAGACTATGTTATTCAGTCATGTGATTTATTGACACATTTAAAAAAACAGAACCACTTGATTTTTATTTTTAAATATTTATTTAGATGACATTCAATTTATATATATATATATATATATATATATATATATGGAAAATCCTAACCTCAATGTAAAATATGCAAAATCACTGAATAGTTAATGCATCCAAAAAATTACAGAAGAATCAGTATGATAGATGCTGACGTCACTTGCTCCTATATGGAAAATCACTTTTCCATTACTGCTTAAAGAAAAAGTTATAGGTTTGGGTATGTATCCTGAGATAACTTTTGTATGCAATGGACAAACATCTTTTAAACCTCTCTAAACTACCAATAGACTTGCATTTTAAATGTTTGCTGCACACAATGTCAGTATATGTATTATACCTACTTTCAAATATTTGAATCTTCAGTTTTATTTGTGCTCTGAAAAGATAAATTTCCTGTACTAATGTTCATAGAATGGTGGAAAATCATTTTGCTTGGCTGTTTTGAAGCAGTCTTGATTCAGTATATATTTTTAGTGGTTTGGGGATCAAATGCAAAGTCTTGCTGCTGCTAGGCAAGAACTCATTCTACCACTGAGCTACACCCCTAACTCCTCATTAATTTTTTTATGTTTGTATAAAGATGCCAGTGAATGGTTATACAATGAGCAGTTTAACATGCTTTGAAGTTTTTCCCTTGTAAGCTGACTTCATATTGCTGCACACCTGCCAAGTTTTAGAGTAACAGTATAATATGTAGATTAGAGACACTTTCTTTATGAAGACCTTCTAGTTTGGATATGGAGTCAAAACTGTAAGACACCTGTCACAACACAGAAATTAGCATTCTTATTGACAAAGGAAGAATGTCAATGAAAAATGTTGAGATCATCATACAATAACTTTGAAGTATGAGGACTCATACTTCATCTCCTAAAATCCAAATAATTCTCCATCGTTAAGCTACTTGGAAAGAAACAGTACAATTGAGGACAGTTATAACGTAGTATTGAAAAACATCACTTGTGAAAGAGTTTTTCAATCATACACTTTTAATTAAAAGTAGACACTTGAACACTAGGAAAAGAGACTCTTGCTTCTTAATCTATTCCTACTTTATAAAAATAATCAGCCTCTTGCTTACCTATCAGTTCTTTTGGGGATAAAATAATAAAGGAAATATTTTTCAGAAAGTGAAATATAGTACAAAACTAAAAGCTCTGAAGTTTATTCCTTAAATAATAATACACATCAAGTTGATACTTCAAGAATTTTTATACTACATTTTCTGCTGTCACCAACACTTTCTTTTATGTGCTTTTCTATTTGCTATTTTATTGAGTTCTCAGTTCTACTAAGAATAGGGAATATGTTATTCTGTCCATTTTATAAATATGGAAGCTAAAAATATGATGATGCTAATAATAACTTGAACAAGTTTATCTCTGTTTTCTGATGAGTAAAACATCTTTCATTTGGGTGGACAAAGTTCAAGTTCAGAGAAATGACAGCCAGATTAAACATTTAAAATATTCAAGTGTAGTCTCTCATCGACTGCCTGCCATGAAGATACCCATCAGAGAACCATCACAAAGACAAAGCAAGTGGTAATTCATCTAAATTCTTGGGATCCTTTAGTGATCTCCTCTCCTAGGAATTAGAAGAGAATGGATGGGAAACCACTCCAGTCCAAGGTGCCTGGCAAGACCAAGGCAAATGCCATTTCTCTTCCTGTTGTCTTTGTACAGCCAGGAGCTTTCAGAGCAGATTCACTACTTTATTCCTGAAGAGCTTTCCAGGAGCTTGCTGGTGGGGAACCTTGCAAAAGATCTGGGGTTGGCATGGTGGGGTACCTACTCAGAACTTGAGGATTAATGCAGAAAAGAAATTCTTTACCATGAACACAGAGAATGGGGACTTACTTGTGAGGATGATATAGACTAAGCAGATTGGAGGCAAGAATTCAATATGTGTTCTAGAATTTGAAATGGTTGCTGAAAAGCCTTTGAACTTTTTTCATATAACTGTGCTGATCAAGGACATCAATGACAACCCACTGACCTTTAGCAGAAATATCACTGAGGTGGAAATTAGAAAACTGGCAATAACAGGAGCTACATTTTCCCTGGAATCTGTACAAGATGCTGATGCAGGTGTCAAGTCCTTGTAGCAGTTAGTACTGCTACAAAGTAGTCCTCAGCCCTGATCTCCACTTTTCTGTAATTCAAAAGGAGAACCCATATGGTAGTAGTTACCCAGAGCTGGTGCTGAAAACACCCCTCAACAGAGGAAAGCTGTTCTTCCACCACCTGGTCCTCATGGCTATAGACAGAGGAGAGCCCTCCAGAAGCAGCACCACCCAGATCAGGGTAATTGTTGCAGATGCAAATGATAATCCCCCAGCGTTTACTCAGGATGTGTACAGGATCAGGGTTCAAGAGAACCTACCTGCTGGATCCTCCTTGCTAAGTGTTGGCCACTGATCCAGATGATAGTGACAATACCAAGATCACCTACTCCTTTATCAATGTTGATAATGCAGTGAGAAAACTGTTGTAAGTTGGATCATAAAATAGGAGAACTCACCACTGCTGGAGGATTGGACTTTGAAGAGAGAGCTACACACTTGGGGTAGAAACAAAAGATGGTGAAAGTCACAGTGCACAGAGTAAGATATAAATAGATATTTTGGATGAAAATGACAGTGCCCTGGAGATTATGCTGGCTTCTGAATCCCAACTTATAGAAAAGGATGCTGAGCTGGGGACTACTTTTGCTCTGATCAAGACATGTGATCTAGATTCTGGATTTAATGGGGGAAATCCTGTGCAAATTAAAAGGGAAATTTCCATTTAAAATAGTTCAAGATAAAAAACGTACACATAGGTTGGTGACAGATAGTGCCCTGGACAGGGAGGAAATCCCAAGAGTACAATGTTATTATTATAGTCTCCTACAAAGGCAACCCACTCCTCTCCTCAGGTACAAGTTTTAACCTCTACATCACTGACATCAACAATAATGCCACAATTTTCTACCAAGCCTCCTATGTAGTCTATATAGCAGAAAACAATCCTCCTGGAGCCTCCATTTCTTAAATTAGAACCTTAGACACAGACTTGGAGGCGAATGGCAAGTCCCCTACTCCATTGTGGCCAGAGACCTGGAGCCTCACGCATTGTAATGCTATAGGCAGGGAGCCTTCTACCTCAAGCAGCTATGTTCCTTTGAGCTGATTCTGCAGGCCTGCACATGTTGATAGGCGACCACAATGACAATGCTCCATGGGTGCGCTAACCTATGCTGGCGCCCAATGACATAGTGCCTTGAGCTATGGAGCACGGCTACCTGGTCACCAAGGTGGTGGCGGTGGATATTGATTGAGGACACAATGCCTGGCTAACCTATCATGTGCTGCAGGCCACACCTGCAAGTTTAAATTGCAAATTACATTCTCCAACCAAAACAGATCAGACACCATAAGTATGCAGAAATTTCATCCTGAAATGATTCACTACTGGTCTCCACTCGTTTAAGGACCTTCATCTCTGTTTCTGAGGAATGCAAAGTGATCCGTCACTGTTCTTCCTACTCATAATCCCAAAGAAGTTCATAAAGCTAGTTATGGCAGCTCTGCGGAGGTGCCAGCATCTGTGGTGGCTGTTTGGAGCCAGAACTGCACAGATCCACTACTCTATTCCCGAGGAACTAGAGAAGGGTTCCTTCATCAGCAATGTCATCAAGGACTTGGAACTGGAGCCCCAAGAGCTCATGGAGAGTGGAGTCTGCATCATCTCCAGGAGTAGGACGCAGCCTTTCTCTCTGAACCCGTGAAGCGGCAGCTTGG